AGCTAACGTATGACTAGGTCCCACCCAGACTTTGTTTATCCCGGGCCATCAATCAAGCTCCCTTGCTTACCACCAGCAACTGACTGAGAAGAACGATTACTATCTCTGCAGAAAAGGAACAATGTCTAATTAAGACACTGAGCAGGAAGCCAAAGGAATGCGGATCCCAGCAGAATCTCAACAGTGCCTCCTACAGAGCCAATGGAATACTGAAGGATGGCAGCAGCGTCCTTGTAAATCAGTTACCACATCAAGGAGACCAAAGTCTGGCTTCATCTCACGACGGCGTGGAAAAACCATGCACGTGGGAGTCGTGAACTGCTTAAAGATTATTACATTGCTTTGGTTGGCATTTTTAATTCTGGTCTTTTCAGCTTGCTGGTTTTACTAGAACTTAACTGATACTGTTTTACGGTCATAATGAAATAGCACTATTCAAAAAGAACTAATAGTAATCAAGGAAGAAGGCACAATTGTGCCTACCTCTCCCCATTAAAAGGAAAGAAAAATATTTAATTGCAAAGGAGTGACTGATTCAGCCTGCTCTAGACTAGCCCAATGGCACATTAAGGACCACAGATTTAATCTCTGGCTGGAAACAGCACACTAAGCCAACATCAAATAAACCACATGGCAGCTTAGAGTTTTATATGATCTTGAGTGTTTTGACTTACTCAGTGTATCGTGACTAAGGAACTATGGCATTATATTGTGTGTAAACCCAGACAATGAAAGCTTAAAGTGCAATACAGGTAGTCCTCGTTTAGCGACTGTCTCATACAGTGACTGTTCACAGTTACAATGGTGATGAAAAAGTAACTTTGCAACCGATCCTTGCACTGACAACCTTCACAGGTCTGTAAAGCAAAGGAAAGCTGAAGTAAAACCATAAGCACAGTCACAGTTTCACTTAGCAACCACTTCGCTTAATGACCAAGTTGCTGTCCCAATTGTGGTCACTAAATGAGGACTACCTGTAAACCTGCTTGCTGATAAGTTACAGAGCAGCTAAATTACCATTTTTCTTTCCTTTAAATTTCTTATTTTTAATCAAACACGTGCCATGGAACTAAAGGGAGGTGGGGAAGGAAGTGGACACTCCATTGTATCATTGTAAAAATCTTGAAAAGCTTTCAATAAACATTTTTAAAAGCAGAAAAGAGTCCTGGGAGCATCCAAAGACCATCCATGATGATCAAACATCCATCCCCCTGCAGACCAGTCAGGAAAGCCTTACTTTGCATTCTACAACACTCTGATCCGATTCACAAGTGACGTAGATTTCATCCACTGCACGCCTTAGATTGTCGAAAAGGAAAGCCCAGTATCGTGCTCGGAGGTCGACTTTCCGTGGCTGTCTTGTCTTGGTGGGGCTTTTGTAGAAGGTCTTCTCCCCGGAGGCTGGTGTGATTTTGCAATCTGATGCTGTGCTCTGCAAAGGAGATTCAGAAAGCTCATGTGCACTAAACAAAGTTTCATTTCAACTATTTTTTAAAGGAAATCTCAATTGTTCAGGTTCACCCATGAGACTAAGCTATTAAGCATGATTTGGATAGGTTCACACACCATCTATATCAGTGTTTCTCAAACTTGGCCACTTTAAGACATATGGACTTCAACTCCCAGAATGGGGCAAGGGGTTGGACTAGATCAGTGTTTTTCAAACTTGGCCACTTTAAGATGTGTAGACTTCAACTCCCAGAATTCTCTAGCCAGCCATGCATGGGAGTTGAAGTCCACCTGTCTTAAAATGGCCAACTCTGAGAAACACTGATCTAAATCAAACAAACCACGTATCAAGGCTATCAGCTTGAGAGCTTTGTATCAGTACAAGTAGAGGTAGCAGTCAGGTAAACATTCCTAGGAGGAAAAAGTTCCCAGGTAGCCCTCCAAAACTAGCTTCCATTTAGTTCAGTGTTGTCCAAACTTGGCCACTTTAAGATGAGTGGACTTCAACTCCCAGAATTCCCCAGCCAGCACTGGGGAACAGTGCTGAACACTGATTTAGTTGTTCAATCAAAAGAGCTGTAACCCAACGGTAAGGAATCTTCACCTCTGGTGTAGGTACGTGGAAGCATCTATGAATATGTATTTTTGGCAACATGGTTTTGGGTTTTTTTGGAGGGTGGGGTTGGCAAGAAGTATCAAAAAGAAAAAAAAAACAGAAAAGAAAAGGAGAAGACGACATATGAATCCAGCTTGCAGAAGGTTCCTTTAAGGAAGTTCAGATTAATTTGTGACTTGCCAGCCTGCCCAGTTTTACCCTTTGCCAGTTTAATAGTTCCATGTGCTTTTAGTTAGTGGGCAGTCCCATAATAAGCAAGCCTGAACTAAATTCAAAAAAGAGTTATGAACTTGTCACGAAAAGCCGAAAGCAATAGGGAATATAGCTTAATCCCTGCTGGACCTTTGGATGGTCATTATTCATTATATAAACAGGAAAAAGAATGACTTACCGGTAAGAACCAACTTATCAGCTGCAAGTCAACACAGGGTTCTTTCAGAGTAAGCCTCTCTGTACTCAGTGGGACTTGCTTCCATGTAAACAGCACACGAGTGGCAATATTGGGATGATGGAAATATTACATATAGAGGGGCTTTTCCTCATTCTCCCTCTCCCCAAGGGCCTCTGTAATCTTTATATTCCATCAGTGACACAGTAATAAACTTCGCTCCACTTTGTGGAAATAAAAACTGGCTTTAAATGACTGATCTTTCAAAGCTTGGCATGATGGTGCAAAAATAAAGGGCTGTAGCTTAGTGGAAGAGCATTAACCTTACACGTCAAATATGCTCAGTTCCGCCTCCAGCAACACCACCGAAAACTGGAGAAGAACTTTGCCCCCAACTCTGGACAGCCAAGGGGTGTCAGTAATACTGATCCAAACAGACTTTGTGTATGGGTACCCTTGCTTTTTTTTTTTTTTTTTTTTTGGGGGGGGGGGACCCAGTCCCAGGAAAAATGGAAAAGGTTAAAAAGAGGGAAAAAATTAAAACCAAAAAAAAAA